ATTCCTTCTCGGTGAGACAACACTGTTGCATGTACTGGTCTTTCCTTTAACGGACCCCAAATTCTTAAGATAATTAGAAAATCATTAATAATGACACTTTTATCAAAGACTACTTGGTTTTGTGCCCATTTATCTAGGACCCATCGGTATGAGTGAAGTGTAGTGCTCAAGGGGAAAATAGTTGTACCCTACCTGGGATTTGACCCCAACTGCAGGATTCTAACCACTACTCTACACTACTACCTTTTAAGAGTCTCTTGAATTAACACAGATCTATGACGGGACTTTACTACTTTAAATGAAGAGCGTATCATGGCACTACTTAAGAAGCAGAAGGATCTTTTCAGGCAAAATAAAAAAAACAACCGAAAATACAATTCAAAATATTTATTCTCCTCTTAACTTTTAGGAGTCTGTCAAACCTATTCGCAAAAGAACAGTTAACAAAGAACCATAGTTACCAATCTTTTTTCCCCACTCATTGCTTTTGATTAAGTCCTCAATGTACAGTAGGAGACTCGGGGGAAGTGTGTTCATCGGGTTTCTGGACATTTAGGTGCTTGCTGACATTTAATATTACTGGGTCTTTTCTTAGTCTTGGCTCATGTTGAAAGACCTCATTTTCCAAACTGGCAACAGATCTATAAATTTCAGCTTCTTTATCAAAATTTGGTGTATTGAAGTGGAACATGAACAGATCTTGCATCCTCAAAAGCTCCTCTTGAAGCTTCAGGTTGTGCATTGGATTACTTGATGAAGTTTAAAAGCACATTAAACCCAGCCATGCAGTCATATGTCTGTAGCCTGCATGAGCGTCTCTGAGATTGTGTTTTATATCTGCTACATACCTACAGTGGCATACCTTGGGTTCATTAACTTTTATGTGTTAAATTCTCATTTTCAGCAGGCTACCCATTAATTGCTCACTGTTTTTCACATTTATTACCTCACGGTATTGAACAAATGGTCTTTTTGATGAGGTGCTAAGCATTTTTGAACTGATCTGATCACTCAGATATATAGAGAGGCACAAACTATCTTTCACGTCTTCCATCAATCAAAAAGCCACTTATTTCTTGTTGGGGTCAGAGTAACAGAGTACCTATCCCAGAAGCATAACTGCGGGCACATTTCAATACAACAATTAGCTTAGCCAGCGTGTCTTCGGAAAGCGGAAGGAAAGCAGAAAAAAAACCCACGTGGACATCTCCACAAAGAAGGAGCCCTTGTCTGCAGCCTAACCCAGGACCCAGAAACAGCGAAGCCCCAGTGCTCATGCTATGCCCAATGCCAATTTCTAGTTTATCTTACCTAACTATAGTGTTAGAAATAGGCTTTTTGACCTGTGGCTGTTACTTTCCCTGTTTGCACACAACATGTGTACTGGGGGAATGGCTGTGCACATGGATACAAGTAGCTAGAGCCCAGGTTTCTTAAATCTCACCAATCCGTCTTTCAGAATTGTGGCCCGTGCCACACTGAATGTCTTAAAGGCATTAATGACAGCTTTCAATCAAAAGACATCTGATTAGCAAGTTCCTTGAGAATATTTCTCCCTTAAGTAACCCCCACAGGGAGACATCAGATCAATAAAGAACTGTCCCTGTAGCCCACTTTAACAGCTGTGTGGGACAGATACACTGGGCTTCATATCTTTGAACAAATTTTCAATCAATCAGATTTTTCATTTAGTGTCAACTATATTGTCTTTTCCCCATGTTCTGGAGGCTCACTGAGGTGGAGGGGTGCAGCAGATTGCTTTTGCTCACTTTAGATAAGGTACTTTCATTTACCCTTCTCCTGGCACTTCTTCAAAGCCAAATTTGGAAATGGAGAGTTTCATAGTTCAGGTTTTCAATTGAGCTAAGTGACATCCACAGATTCTACTGAGAGGAGAACGCGGAGCAAAATTTCAGCCAAAATGAAAGGCATTAAAAACAGCTTTGTATAAAATGGTAATGACAAGGTACTTGTACTTATCCCTGGGCACAAGGACAAAACTTAAAGTGCCTGTTCATTAGAAATAAAATGGAACAGCCTTCGTAATGTAAAAAAAAACATTGCTACCTATTTATGACTTATCGGCATACATCTTTGGCTTGTGCAACACATTAAGTAGCACCATTCTTGTGCACATTGTGGTCCATGAAAAGAGCCAGCATTACATTAATGATGGTCCAGGCTTAATGTTCTGACTATTTAATTGGTCTCCAGCATTAACAGAATTATTTAAAAGAACACAAGAGTTTTCTTATTTGTAACATTTAGTTAGAATCACACTTCTATTTCAAATTGGCCAATGCCAAAACAATCGTCTTCAAGTTTTTTGTGCTATTTTTGATCTAGTTTATTGTTGGGTAAAGTGAATGATGCAGACACGACAGCAACTAGGATGTTTCTGGAGAGAACCCAGGAATGAATAAGACGTTATGCAATGAAGTTTAAGGTTTAAGTTTTATTTTTGTTTTTAATTATCTAAAGGAAGAGCAAGAACTCTTGGCTTTAAGGGAAACAAAGGAGCTGGCTGATTTTAAATGGCTCTATTTACATAATTATATATGTCGCTGAGGTATGCTCAGTGGCTATAGATGTGTGTATTTTGAGGTACAGGTACATACTGTGCTGAACACAATAACAGAGAATGAGATGGCTTATTGTATACCTGGTGTCCACAGGGACTCTATGAAATTGAAACACTGCAGGCATCTCGGTCTTCACAAACTATTAAAGCAACTGACAAATGGGTTTACCTCCATGTCCTGTCAGAATTAAAAGGTACTGCTGCTCCATTCCAAATAGGAAGACCATTCTAATCAACATGTTAATTTTTCTTTGATTTTATGGGAGCGTGGTACCATAGAAATTGATTTACAAGCACAACTTCAGGCAATTTGCACAAGAAGCCAAGAACAACTAATCTTAACTGCCTACACAGTGAATTATTACCACTTAGCAAAAGTTTTGAACAGTTTTTTCCATGCAAAGAAAATACGTTCCTTTTATCATATTATTGACTGTATTGACATGAATTGTCATCTTTCTTTACTGTTTGTTTCCATTAAGAGAGGAAACCAGTACTGTTATATAACTTATTTCTGTCTATAGCGATATACAGGTATAGTATTTATACTGTATGTACACGTTATGCATTCAACAATACTTTCTGTTGTAGTAAGGATATTATTCACTACTGAGTGACAGATGAAGAAAATTAAATTAGTTTTTCCCAACAAAAATAACATTAAAAGACCCCTGTTCTGTTCAACGTAGATGAATTATGAAGTTATCAAATTATGAAGTGTTTGTCATTGATATATAAAATATGATTTGCCGGTATGTCATTGCAGTGATCTGTGTTCTCCCTTGTTAGGAAGGTTTGTCTGCATTTCTGAAACAGTAACTTTATGACCCAGTGTTGTAGTCACATCGTATTTCCTCCAGAACTTCACATTTGCTGGTGCTTGCTCGTGTGTTTCAATTTAATGCAAACACGAAGCGTACCGTGAGGAAATAAAGTGGCCCTCACCAGTGGCTACTTAATCATTTCTGTGGAACCGACGTGAGCCGTAAAGAGACTTGTCAGGTCTTAGTGATTCATTGCTGGCATTTGGATTTTGTGCAGCTGGTAACGACTGACACATTCAACTTCATTATGAGATCCTGCCACTAGAGACTCTTTCACTGCCCAGAAATATTGAGGACAACTATATCATGTGCCTTTTATAACCCTCAGGCTTTCTCCCATTGTAGAGATGCCTTTAGTAGTTAATGTGTTTCATAAACCTATTCTGTGAAGATGCAGTTTTGCTCTGGGGGGGGGGTCAAGAGACTAGTTAGGTAATCTTGTTTTCAAGGAAACTATCAGAATTACCTTAATTTTTTCTAAGAAGACATACCCTCTGGTGTCTTTCTAAGGGATCTCATGATTACCATGCAGAAGAATCAATGATTATGACACTTGTCAGACTATTGCCGTTTATTTTCTTGAGTAAAAGCCGCAATGGAAAGGTTAAAGAGTTCTGCTTACAGAGAAATTCAACCACCTAGAATAGTAACTTCAGAAACACACCTTAAAATGGGTGCAAACGATTCCCAGACATGCTGCTTCATAACAAATGAATGAAAACTGTATGTATGTACTGCATATTTTCTGATAATGCTTTACTTGAATGTGGTAAGGCTTCATGGAAGTTACATATGTTGCAATAACATTCATAATTCTTCATAACCTTTGTTATAGAAGATACTGCGGAGACATACATACAGTACAATAGGTTTTATGTATATTTTATTAGCAATACTTATAATTACATAAGTACTCATAAAGACCTAAATAATCACATAATCGTAAACTAGTATGAATGTTGTATATTGTGCATAATGTCTATGAAGGTGTTACACTGGCTATAAAAGAAGGCTTTAAAAAAACAACCTTTTCTCTCTGCATGAAAGTTAGACTTGCAAGTATACAGTATCTACCAGCTGCATTACGCGTGCTTGTGTCTGCTCTGTTTTATCCTTTTATTACAAATTACGGTACCATCACATCATGCCTGCCATTCTCAATAGCAATGAATATCTGACCATTATCTGACAAACATGCACAAAACACAAGTGTGCAACAATAAAACCATATATTATGAAAATAAGAAAGCCACTTACTATGTTTATCACATTGTTACTCTTTTTGGTATCTATACCAATAATATATACCATAATGCTGTCTGAGGAATGTCTTGTTAGAGAAGGGCCTGTTGCTAAATGCCCACAGCTGCTGCTCGTTAGATCACTTAATTTCTACAGCTGTGGTTGCTTAGCAACAGGCCCAACTAACAAGAAGTCCCCCCCCCCTCGTTATGTCTACCTCAGATAGCATTACAAGACCTAAAATGACAAAATCAAACAAAGTGTAGCGTTTCAGACAGAACTTTTTTTCTAAGATTAGCTCTTAATTTGAATAATTCAGTAATTCCCTTTTTTTCCCCCATTTTCTTTTTCAGTATAAAGATGGTGTTGCTGTGGACAGCTGGAGACGTCTTTAAGACGACGTATTTTGTTGTCAATGAGAGCCCTGCCCAGTTCTGGTTGTGTGGTACCGTGCAGATCTGTATTGACATAGCCATTCTGCTGCAGGTGTGCTATTATGGACAGGATGCTCACACAAAGTATGGCTGACTCCAAGACGCAAGAGAACACCAACTACAAGCACAGTATTTCACACCACGTACGCCTAGCAAAGACGACAGCCTCTTTCTAAGTCAGCATGGAGAGTCCTTATGGCGTCTTGACAAGTTTTAAAAGTCAAGATGTTGATATCTCAGGGGTCCCTAACTCATTGTATTCGCATTTCCAAAGTCAGTCCCTCAGGCAGCAGCAGATGTTTTCACCTCCTTGCAAGGCTAACAGAATTCTGATCATAAACAGCTGCTGGACGGTCAGTAATCGTTTTTACAAGAATGTTACAAGTTTACGAAAAGCCTGTGCAAGCTGAATCTAGTTTGAGTTGCAGATATTTTTAAGAAAATGTAGAAAGATTGGATTTTTCCAGTTCTAGGTTTAAAAATAACATTTCTGTGTTGCATTCACTGCCAAATAATAATATTGTCCTGGTTTGACAGAGCAGATGTGTAGCTTAGAGAGCCAGACAGAAGTCTCTGAGTAGTTCCTGTACTTGCAGTTCTCTTCTTCAGATTCCATTACTGCCTCTTATTATAACTTATTCAGATCACCATTTCCAAGCACAAAACGTGAACAAAATGACAGTGAAGAAATGCCCCAAATCAGGTGTTTCCTGTTATGATGTTGCCACAATTCTGACTTTTTAACATGTGATGTCTACAACGAAATTTATACTTTTTTAACCAGATTATTAAATTGAGAACATGTTCCCGTTTACAATGACGATAAATGTGTTAAATCAGATTCAAACAAATCCTAGTGGAAAGTATTTATATACAGTAATTAAAAACCATTTGGCTGAAATTTTAAAACAAAATCAGGAACCTAACAAATACTGTATTTATTTTAAAAGTGTAGTTTTAAAAGAGCTAAACGTCTTTAGCTTTTTATTTTAATATGTGCCCCTAATGACAAAATCCTGAGATAATGTAATGGAGTATGTGCAGGTTCTTAAGCAAAGTTTTTTTTTTTCTGGAACATATTGCAGAACTCTTCCAAAATTAATTCTAAGATGTACACACATGATATCATTTAGAAATGACCTAGAAAATGACATTGTACTATTTAACATCTCACCTCATAGGGTGGTAATGTTCTGGGAGAGACACTGAGTGACTCGTTGTCAGTGTTCATTGTCATTTTTGTTGGCAGGAATTGCTGGGACACAGTGATCTGTTCTACACTTGTGTTGTAAAAACACCATCTGAAAGACTGCATTGTTTTCTATTAGTTTCTATTAACATGCTTTGCATTTTGATAGCTTTTTTTGTAGCTTAGGCTTTACTCTCTTTGCGCTTGTGCATTTCCCCACTCTTTATATGGTGAGCATTCATTATCCAGCTGTCGGAAGCATGTTGGGTGTCATTTCTTATCAGTTACCGGACCTAGCCGGTGCACTGTGGAAAATCAGGGCACAGTACAGTACCTGATGTGTATGTGAAAGCATGTTTTCTCAAAGGGAGAGTATTTATTTTTAACCTACTGTACTATACCTAACAAACCCTGTTACACTCCCATAATACTAAATGTGCATGTCTGTGCGATGAAAAGAATGAAAAGTATTTATTACTCTATTGTGTGAATTATATTGATAATACAGCTTTAAAGTTATTGTTTTCAGACACATGTCCCAATTGTCCCTCTTGTGATTCTCAAGCAAGTTGCCCTACACATTTGCATGTATTACTGAGTGGCCAGTTTGTTCACAAGGAAAAGAGTGTTTGATTTCTTATATTCTATGTAGTACAATGCCCCACAACCAATTTTAGGAACTACCTGTACTAGTAATTGGGTAAATGGGCTGATCCTATATAATGCCTTATTTTATAAATGACGCTAAGAGATTTTTATTTATTGACTGCAATAAAAATATGTCTTTTGTATGAAAAATAATTTTGTACTTGGCAGGAACATTCATGTGGTGAAGCTGTTTGTGATGCATTTCTAATTTTAAGGAACAAGTAATAGGTTTATTCCATGCTGAAAAGAGAAGAAAGAAAACACAACGTTTCGGCTGTGGAGCCTTCTTCAAAGAAGAACAGGGGCCAACCAAGGAGCGATCTAAAGCCATTATTTAAGGAACCTTATAATTCAGTAGCCAAGTCTATTCAAATCTTACATCTGCTAATACCTCCCACAGAAGAGCTGTAAGAACACTTGCTGTACAATTATGTTTGAACATGTACAACTGAGATTATTTCTGTAGAAAAATGCCTTTTTAAACATGTTGCATAAAACTCTGAAATGTGTTTAAATACCCACAGGAAAGTAGCTATGGAAGTGCGTTAAGAAACAAAATGATGTGGATTCAGGGGGCGAAAATCTCAAATCAGGACAAACTTAAAAAAAGATGGAGTTCCTGTACCAAAATGATAATGACTTGTACCATATGTAAATTAAAGAGACTTTTGGAGTTCAGTGGAGTAAAGTGTCTTTTTATGCCTTAATACACATAAGAACCTAAATTGTAAGTCAAAGCATTTGCCTTTGTAGACAATATGATTGAGATTTTCAAAAAAGACAAGTCTAAGAAATGTGTTCCAAGTTGGGTCTGTAATTCAATTTCTCTATTCCCTGATGTTTTCTCTTACTGGACTTTTGTACTGAAGGAGTATTCCAGGTGCACATTTAATCTAAAGCACAACAACATCAACAAACACAATTAAAAAACACTCTTTGCAGATTTGACATTTTACACATTCCCATTAATATCTATGCTATGTAATAACGTTCTTACAAGAGACTGGGGCCTGCACTCCAATTAACGGAAATTTTGTTTTTAACTTTACAGCGACACATATTGTAAAGTAAAAGTCTCAGTGAAACTAACTCAATTAACATGTACTATAAATCTCACGGGCACCAAGCAATATTGGAAAAAGAATGATACCAATAAAACACAGTTATTCTTCCTATAGATAGCCAATCTACACACGTTTGACTGTGGGGACAAATCTTATTTCATTATTGTTTTTGCAGTTTTCCAGTCTCTAGCAAGATGAGCCTAAAAGATAATATGAGGATGATCCAAGATACCTCCACTGAAACTGACAGTAGTCTTGGAGGATCTCTTCAATAAGTCAGTGCTACACAAGTCTGTGGTTTCTTTGCAATTGCCAATCTTTACTAAAGATCAATGTAGCGATCATGTCAGTTATTGGCCCAATTTTTAAAAAAAGACTCTGTTAATATTTAGGAAAGTAAGCAAGTTGAAAACAAAGTCAAGACAAAAAAAAACAGTTATACTGTACATATAAGAAGAATTACATACTGTATATATTTATGGTGTCCATTACAAATGTCGTAATAATGGATTTGTCTGTTTCATTCACTGACCATACCTTATGAATTCAACGTTTTCCTCTTACCTTAAAGAAACCATCCGAAGGAGGTGATCTGTTTAATTTCTGTGAGGGTCATTTCCTGCCATTTTCTTAGAAGTGTCAACTCTGACAATATGGATGACAATTCACCAGCTAAGTCGAAAACATTCTAATTTTTTTAAAAAAAATTAATTAAAATTAAAACTAGCTGCAACAATCTGTTACATTTTCTTGACTTTCTTTTTTTCTTCTTTTTCTTGAATTTGAATTAATAGCTATTAGTGCGCAATACTACACTTTGTTCAATTAATTCTTGAGGTAGTGGACATGATGTAAAAGATTTATATAAAAATGCCACAGCTTTTAAGTTCTTAGGTCTAGTTTACCCCTCCGGTGGGAGGTATTAAATTATATGCTTGCCACATAAATTATACAGTCGATATTAGCCCCTGATATCTTCAGAGTTCCCATAAATTGACAGGTTATACATTAGTAATGATGCACCACATTAGTGCAGTTTGGGATATTTATCCTTGACACTGGTCTAAAGGTTACTAGCTTCTACATATTAGATACCGGGCGGGGGACATCTAGTATAGACGCCTGGGTAGGCATGTCCACCTAAAACGTACTTGCTTTAAATGAGCACTTTTCATTACCATAAGCAACCATTTTTAACTGGTTCTCAAAATATCGTAAATGCAAGTGATCTCCCAAATCCTCTAAACCATTAAGTTTGTTTTTACTGCAGTGAAACTATTTTGTAATAAACAAATGCTGAAATAAACAATGCTGAAAACAGCACTTCGGGAAGAAACTGCACAACCGGTGAATAATACAGGTTTTTTTTTACCAGCAAAATCAAAACACAACACCATGGACTATATATCTCAAAACACAAGACAACCTAAGCTTTTCAGAACTGTTTCTTAACTAGATACATCAGCATACAGCAAATGAACCTTTTTTTCCCCATAGGATATGCATCTCGCGTTTCAGTTTAGAGAGGCACCAAAGTATATAATTGATCGGTTCTCCAGCAAAATGCAAGCGCGAAAGCAAAAATTCGCTAAAACACATAAAGAACGTTTACCCTTACCTTAAAAAAATGCTTTCAGTTCACTCCAGATATTCGCAAGTTTATAAAAACAATACACAATTCAATTAAGATGGCCCTTAATTGAGGCTCCCCTATAAGTTAAATCTACCAGCTACAGAAAAACGAATCTAACGGGTTGAAACGGCTGTCACTCAGCGATTTCTGACCATTCACAGACCTAAACCCTCCTCTCTATAGCACGCAGGAGTAGTGTTTTATTTGATTAAACCGGTTTCCCAGAAGTACTGTAAAAGTACATAAATACCACAAAGGTGCAAAAAAAAAGCTAAAAAGTGCCAAAAACGCCTTTGTAACTTTGAAAATTCTAAGAAGGCTCTTTAGAACTGGCAATATTGAAATACAACGGTGAGAATTGTAAATAATTTATTCTTTTCATCATTTCTATTTATTTAAATATTTCTGGAAGGTTGAGAAAACCAATCCAGGTCCTCTCTTTCTAATTATTCATGCAAAGAGTCCATCGATCCAGGAGGACATTGACCTTGACTTCCTTCTGGGGGGGGGTAGGTGATGGATTAAGGTTAACGGAATCATAACATGTCAGCTTTCACCCTGCAGCTCACAACTGGCAACCCACTGAAGATCAGCCGGTGTGGGACTTGTCAATACCTGGATGGGAAACCAGCAGGTTGCCGCTGGAAGAGGTGGTAATGGGGCCAGCAGGGGGTGCTCACCCTGTGGTCTGTGTGGGTCCTAATACCCCAGTATGGTGATGGGGACACTGTACTGTAAAAAGGTGCTGTCCTTTGGAAGAGATGTAAAACTGAGGTCCTGACTCTCTGTGGTCATTTAAAAATCCCAGGGTGTTTCCTCAAAAAGAGTAGGGGTGTAACCCTAACATCCTGCCCAAATTTCCCAATGGCCTTTACCAATCATGGCCTCCTAATAATCACCATCTCTCAATTGGCTTCATCACTCCAGTTTTCTGGTTTTCCTCCCTGCTGATAGCTGTGTGGTGAGCGTACTGGTGCACTATGGCTGCCATTGCCTCATTCAGGTGGGGCTGCACGTTAGTGGTGGTTGAGGGGAGTCCCTATTACCTGTAAAGTGCTTTGAGTGGATTGTCCAGAAAAGCCACATAGAAGTGTAAGGAATTGTTATGACTGTATTATTATTTTATTATTATAAGTTATAACAGAATGTTCAGGAGGAAGATTAGATTATAACTTGCAGTTTCTCTTGCCTGCATATGTCTCGCGTCCAGGACGTTCTGTTACCCATCTCTCCTGTGCCCCTCCCACCACCCCATCTACACCCTTGGAGAAACTCCCTGCCTCAATATTCACAATACAGAAGGGGATCTGGGCAGCCTCCCCCTCACAGCGAGGGTGCCAAAATTCCCTCGGCCAGTCGGGCTACACCAAATATACTTGTCTTTATTAGGATCAAGCCTACTGAATACATATTAGTCACTGATAAAATGGGATGCAGCAAAGTGGGTCATTATCAGTTGTATCAGCTGCAGCCCTCTTAGGGGAAAAATGTACTTCAATTTCTCTGTTCCCTAAATGTTTTCTCTTACTGCTCTTTCGTACTAAAGGTGCACATTTAAACTGAAGCAAAACAACGTCAACTAATACAAACAAAAAACATAAAAGTTCTGAAAACTGGGACAAATGGTACTTCCGTTTTTTGCAGATTTGACATTTTACACATTCCCATATCTGAACTATGTAATACCGTGATTGTGAGACTCTCCGGCTTGTCTGTGTTGGGACTTGTACTCTAATGCCAATTTTGTTTTTAACGTCACAATGCCGCACATTAATTGTGAAGCAAAAGTAAGTAATTGTGAAGTAAAATTCCTTGGTTGACACTAATTCTCCCAGCACCACTTGGCTAAATCAGGAGACCAATGTTACGGGCATTACTTAAAAGGCCTCCATCCCAGACTTGACAGTTTTCCCCAGCAGTGATGAGCAAAGATGGCCGCCTGCTAATTGGGAAAACTGGACAAGTGTTCTCTGAAGCACTCAGAGGGAGTGAGATTCCATGTGTGAGAAAGGAGCCGTCAGTATAGGTTCTGTGTGGAAGTCGACACTCCTACACAAAAAGAGCATGTCACTTTCTAACAAAATACAGTACTGTATGTCCATAATATTCTGAGATCTTATGAGGTTAAGTTTATATAAAGAGGTGCAAGAACAATCCTAAGTACCTGCATCTTAAATTTCTGAATTTAAACTCCAACCCACCAGGAAAATGATATTTTGATATATTTAATATAATTGAAAAAGTAACTGTGATTAAGCAATAATCCCTTGCAGTACTGTACTCCAAGACAGGATGTCTTGTTGATGTATTCTCAGTTCCACCTTCCCCTTGCAGAGGCAGGGGCCTTGCTGTGTTGGACGAGCTCCCAGAGTGAGCCTCTGGCTGTCCCAGGTGTCCCGGAAGGCTTGTAAAGGAATATTGATAGAGCCTCCCTCCCGCAAGGAAACGTTCTCTCCAGATTTATGAAGTGGAGCCAAGAACGTGAAAGCTGTGGGTCATACGCCTTGGATAAAAAGTATGAAGAGATCAATTAGATGCATTTATAACTCACTGACCTAATAATAAAAGGAAGAGAGTTCATTGATATTTTTTAAACCGCATGTCTATGTCTATCATGGAAAATGATCTATAACCATGCGTCTTCCGGAGAGAATCTGTCAATGTTATTGTTTTTCTTCGCTATTTATTCCAGCTTCTGTCTTATCCTGTTGACTGAAAGCCAGACAGACTAGCAAGTACTCTAATAAAAAGCAGACTACAGTGGATGGCTTCATTAATAAAAAGTGACAGCTGAAGCAAGGATTGATGTATTAGCACAATAGGTCTTTCTATCATAGAAGCCTATTTAAAGCAAGCTTAGTTTCATTAGTGAAGAGTACTTTAGTAGTGGCCTCCATCGCGTGCATAAGAAAACCAGACAAGAAGAAAGCTGGGCTAGAATAAAAGAGACCTGCGAAGAGAGAGTTTCTGAATTCTTTGCCATAGCACACAAAAATAGTTATTATTATTCTACCCAAATTATGCTATTGAAGGTCATTTATTACCAAGTTAAATTACTGAAGTAAAACAATAAATTGTTCACGCAGGATATTCTGAACATGTTGTGTCATGTCAAGCACATCCAGATTTCAAATATCTTTATGAGACTGAAAGTCCTTTTTGACTTTAGGTAAATCAATCAGTTTACGATTACTAACAGTTTTCTATTTAACCTTATCGAAGCCTTACCTTATTTAAGATGGCAGGTTTGCCTAAGAGATTTGAAAGAGCAAAGTTTGGAGCAGTCAATACCGAATCAGCATACAAATTTCATTTGTTGTACTAACATTTCATAGAGTTCTTGTACTATAAATCTAATTGTTTACTACCAGTTTGTTTGGAAACCTGAAACATTTCAACCTTGACTATGTTCTATCCTGATATAAGAACTCAGGTGGGCAGAACAGAAATCAATAAATTGGTTTCAGATAATCACAATCAAGGAGTGTTTTCTGAAATATTAAATGGTTATAACTAGATATACATTTTACATTCTGGGGTATAAGTACCACAGCTTTTTTATATAAAAAAGATATAATGACACATGGGTCTCTTATCTTCTGCTTTGTGTGACAGTATTTCTCATCTCTTTCCTAACCTCACCTGATTAATCCAGTTTCCTAATACATCATAGTTTTGGTCAGAGTGTCACAGATACATTTATGCTATTCAAAAATATTTTTACATTGTGTCCTGACACTATTGCTTAGACAATATATCTCTCTCCCAAAAACCCAGAATTTTACAAACAACCCAAATGTCAATGAAGTGAATTTTGTCACTTATTCTGTATTTGAGTCTGAAATTAATCCTTCATTTACTACAGTGTCCAAGTCAGGTATATTTTTGATCGGTACAGACTGAATGACATTAAACATAATGAAGATTAGTATTACATAAGCCTGTCATAGTATGACAAATCATCACACCAGCAAAACTCCTGGCCATGTGGAAATAACACACAGGAATGCAACATTTTCAGCAACTCTTACCAAAAGGAAAGAGATTTGCTGGGATACGTCGGCATATTTTTAAAGACAGGAAAGAAGAGACAGGGAAAGCAATGTTGCCAGTTGACATAAAGAATGTCAGATATGAATACATGAGATGGTTGGCATAAATTGCACTGCGTCCTCCGACATTAAATTAATTTAGTTTTCCTTATTTATGATTTTCCTTTTGGTATTTTCATCAACCAACAGTGGCATCTTCAAATAAGATTTTTTAAACATGCCAGGTTTTATAAAAGAGACAAGGCAGAGGAATATGGGATGTGATTTAAAAGCTGACAGACCAGGAATATTCCATTTAAATGGTACTGTAGGCCACACACTTTAACTCATTGTAGAATTCTACTAGAACGCCTTGCAGTAACACACGTGTGGTAGTAATGAAAATCATACAGGGCGGACCCCAGACAGGAGCCCCCCACCCTGAAGAAAAACCGAATGCACAGAGGCTGCTAACTTCTTTTAACTTGTGATTTAAATATGAGAATAAATCTGCAGTGCACAAACTGTACACTGAAAACTTTGTGTTTAAAAGTGCTGTGATTTTCAGGGCCGAATCTGCTTTGCTTTGCATGTACAGTGTCTCCCCAGGCCTGTTCTCTGCTGAAACTGGAAAGCTGGGGCTTTAAAATACCCTGAAGGAGTTATTGAAGAGTTCAATCATCTCTTCCAAAAGCCTACTTTGTTCTAGACTAGATTCAGTTCCTCAGCCTACGCGTGAAACACATTGATCTCTTCGTCATTGAGAAAGTCTGTTTTTTTTTGTTGTTGTCTTAGCAAATTCACCCGTTTTACACTAGTTCCAAAGCAGGTTTGGGTATTCCTAGAGGGACTCAAAATCTTTCGAATTTCATTCCAGCTTAAGACTGAAGTCTGTGAGTTAAGTAAGTATATTATAGGTTCAGAGTGTACATTTAACAAGTACTGTTTGCAAATATATAATGTATTTGCTAACTTAACTGAAAACATGACTTGCAAAATCTTTTTTGACCACTGAACTATGTTCATTACTGTAATTGTAATATACC